AGCTTGACTTCCCTTGTGCCGTTATTGAGCTATGGAACTGTTGTTGCCATTTACCTATGTGGTCCCCAAACCTGAAAAGACTGAAATTATTCTAACATGTCATCCTGTGAATTTAATATTGAAATACCTGAAGTTAGGAAGAACCTGTAAGACTGCTTACATGTAACATTAGGTTATTATATGCCTGCAGAAAGAAAATACAGTGCAGCATTCTAGAAGTATACTTACCTGTTTTCACCCTGCTACCTGCCACCCCCGCTAAGGGTTTACTTACCTGCTCTTCACCCTGTAACAGTGTAAAAGAGATACATTCATTTTCTTCCTGCAACCCCGCAGATAGATAAACAGCTAATGTGCAAACAGCATTAAGAGTACACTTATTTCTGGATTACCTGTTTCTTTTGCTGTCTTTTCAGAATGTTTTGTAATCAGGGGTTCTACTCACCTGTGGGATTCTATGAAAAAACAGGTGGTCAGTGACAAAATTTACACTGAAGCATTGCAGATTCTTATGCTGAATTGTGAAGAGGATCATGAGAGTTTAAGAGGCTGACTCAAAGAAGGGACATCACATGTTTCATAAGTAGCCTTTGGTATCGCATAGCTGTGAAATCAACCAACCAAAGGCTAAGAAAACAGGACTATTCCAACTGCTATTACAAGTTACAGTATGTGAACATCTTAAGAGCAAGTTATGTTTTTGTGGACATCCCGCTGCCCCACACACCTGGTACATATTACTGTACATCTACTCTGCACATGTGTTTGTGGGATCTGTGAGTGTGTGGGAGAGAAAGGAGAAGATGGACAGATGGAGGAACTGAGTGAGGGCTGCAGTTTAGTTTTACTGAACTTCCATATGCATTTCCTTGAGAGGGTCCACTGACAATGTCACAAACCATATGCGTTGCCTGGTGTGTGCCTGTGCCTTCACTAGAAAGACCTTAAGTAATGATCTAACAAAGGGACAGATAAAGCACCACAGTTGACGAAGACAGTGCTCACCTTAATCAACTGTCTTATTTCTTTCATCAACATCTGTCTTTTCCTATTGTATTTGTTCTGTAAAAACACTCCATTCACTCGAGGAGCAACAACAAAAAAATATTGCAACCCACATAACGTTAAGTTCAAACATCGTTTGAACATGATTTTGGGAAAAGTAACAGCCCTACTGTGTAATTTTGAGCTAATGATAGCAGTAAATGTCAGGAGATCACCAAAGCTAATACAATTCTCCCTGAGGGGTACACGTATTTGCCTACAATATTTCATGGCAATCCACCCAACAGCTAGGTATAAGGGAAAATCTGTAGAATTCACATCCTCTGGGAGCCATTAATATCTGTAGAAAATGTCATGGCAGCTCATCCAATGGTGGAGAAAAATAATTCAGTCTGGACCAAAATAGTAGTCCGACTGACGCTGCCACAGAGCCGCAAACGTGAACAGAACATTTCAAATAATATCTGACCGTCCCCTCTGATGTTTACTGTAACCTGTCATGAGGATCTGTGAGTTACCTTCTTAAAGTTAATATCCTACCAGAACAAATGCAAATGGAAACAGAAGCATGCACAGTTTTTGCTTTCCTATGAAACAATAATGAAATGGACTGTGCAGATTGTAGCATATAAGGCTCTCATAATTAACAAAAGAGAGTGAGTCCTAAATATCTCCCACATATCCCATTAACAAATATACACACCTAACAAATATACTCACCTAGGGAGCAAAAAGCAGTGTTGAACTTCCTCCGCTGTACAATTCATTATTTTGATTAATCTTGGCAATTATGGGATATGTGCTTTTCTGTTCTAATTTATTTTTGTTGGCCTGCCGTGGTGACTTTTACAAATAGGGTTGTATCCAGTTTCAAACAAACCGTAAAATGATAAGAATTAATAACTTTGTAATTCAAACAAGCACAAAAAACACTGTGCATGTCTGTGCAGTATCAGGCTGCCTAAATGCCATCAGCCCCCACTGGCCAGTTTCTGACTACTGTTGGACCTCAGTGACAGCATAATGTCACGGTGGTATTCACACACGCACAACAGCAAGACACAAAGCCAGAGTGATAAAGTTCAGACTTTTAATCAAGAAAAACATGTTTCACTCTCATACTTTGTGCATCATTGTTGAACTCTATCAGGAATAGAAACAAGGAAAGAGAAAAAAGGAAGCAAAACAACAACAGAAAGAACAGAGATAAGTTTGGGTAAGGGGTCAAAGGAGCCATGTGTGTTTGTGTTCTTTGTTTCAGATGATGGTGGGGGGTTAAATATAGCTGAAAGCTGATGTCTGATATTTCACTCAGTGCGGTATCCCCTGCAAAGGTCTGCTGGTGAGAGATATGGGGAGAGCATGCTCTTGGCTGTTGTTGACATTAACCCCTGCTAACCCCATTACACACACTTAAGCTCTCACTCTGCCTGTTTCTACCTTTTTCTGCATCCAACGTCTGTCTCTGTCTTACCCACCCACTGTCTATGTCTCTATGGGACAAGCGGTCTAAAACACCCACAGAAATGTCCAGAAAGCTGTAACAAGCTGGAACTGCTGCAGAGTGAGCGGACAGACAGACAGCTAAAAATACTCAGCACGGAAACTCCTCTTGAATTGAACAATAAATTAGCACACACACACACACACAGAAGTGCCCTGGCAGGCGGTGTAAAGTGAATAAACGGACTAATTTTTGCTCCACGGAGGAAGGATAATGGGGACATACTGCAGGAGAGGCTGTTATTTTAAGTGAAAACACAACCTTTGCCATTACAGGAGCTGTGCAGTGGGTTTAAAGATTCCATAGAGAAGAGAAGGGCGAGAAAGACTGTCACTCTGTCTCTTTGCCTCTCGAGGTGAAGGCAAAGAGACGTTATATTTCATAGCTGTTGCATCAATTCTGTTGTGGTCTATGATCCTCACTGTGTATTTTCACAGTTCTAGTATAGTCATTTACTACAGGGCAAAAAAAAAGTGTCCAGATGTTTGTTCAGAGGCAGATTTGATCCATCATACCACTGACAGACAGATGGTAAACAGGACAATCCAGAAAAACTGTTTGGTTTTTTTTGTTGGTTTTTTGTTGATGGCTACATACAGTTTCATATACTTTGTCCACTGCTGTTAGGTGTTAAATAGAAATATTTGAGGTGTTCCATTATAGCAATCAGACACACTTATTTCCATGGTCCTGGCATAAGCTGAAATGTGATGCTTTATATATATTTTATATATTTTGGGGCCATTATATTATGCTCACATACCTGTGTTCTATCTAATGCTAGACCCCCTTTTTACACACTCAACTCAGTTACAAAACCCATGTTACACATGTCCAAAAAGCTAGATCTGATTCAACTTTTCTGCAGCGTGGCATCACCCGGCAAGGTGTGTTCATACAAGCGTGCATTCCTGGAGCATTACTTTGTAACATCAATGCCGTATTTCTGCTGTTCACATAAAGATAATCAAGACTAAAGATAAAACAGCTACAGCTGTGACAACTTTCCAGAGTTGTAAAACCTGGTCTCTTAAGTATTACAAACCACTGTCCTGTATCAGCCGCACAATGCTGCATCATTTTAGGCAAACCAAACCCCCCACCTCAGTACACTTGCCCCATTCAAATGAAAGAAGAGGGCCACACTTTTCGTGCAGGGTGAAGGCCTGTCTGAACACAGTCTCACTCTGTTATTGTTCTGGAGTGTGCTGCAGGAAGAAAAGAGAAAAACTGCCTGCACACTGAACAATTTAACACGTTTTCTCTTTTCTTACAAGGTGTTGTTATTCTCCTGCACCTGTGCCCAATCTGGGTTGGATGTGCACACAACATTTACCTTTTCTTTCTTCTCAGCAATGAGCTTTATCAGGAAGGTGTTACATGCAGAACGTTCACTGTTTGACCCACATTTCCACCCCAGGTAAGCAGCAGGACATAAAGCCAAATGTGTTGGACCACACTGCACACAGGCAGCAGTGTGGGGCGGCTCATCATGTGATGCATGTCACATGACTCCCGTAATTGAGAATGTCTGATGCAAATGACACTGCCGTTCTCTGCCCTTGGTCTTTTCGTTGCGGAACAAGGCAGGAGGTTGTGGAGGTGAAAAACAAGGAGAAACAGCTCTAAGTGGGTGAAACCTTAGATACTACAGCGACACACTCAAGGGACTTTGCCAAAACGTTCTCTTCTCGTACATTGATTTGCTTAGCTCAACAGCCAATCAGAGTGGTCTCTCTCGCCGACAAGGTCTGCCGCAGATTCAACACGCTGAATCAACTGAAAAGCCACCAACGGGGTCTGACTAGCACCAACGGTGTGGGTGACACCAGGAAGACGAGGGCAACAGAAGCTCATCAATGGTCCAACAGTGGCCGACTGTCAGCTTGGTGTGTCACGGGGCTAAGTCTTCAGAGAATGAATGCAAGTCAGTGCAAAACCCTCCCACATATACTAGTATAGGTGTGTGTGTTTTTACCTGAGCACAGCGTCTGTGGTTTTCACACCAAACCAGAACTTGGTCACTCTGGAAGAGAAAGAGAGGACAAGGTTTAAAACAAACAGAGGGAAATAAATCTTTCATAGGCAAATACCATGTTTGAACCCTTCGGCCTGTGTTCAAGGTAACTTACAGGGAGACAGAAAGCAAAATATTATTAATAAAAGGTCACTGACCAAAATACATAGCAAACCTGACACATGCAGAGAGAAACACACTCACCCTTTCTGTTACTTTCAAAATTATCCTCTGGGTGAAAAATGTCTTAATCCACTGTTTGTGGTTGCTGAACCAGACAGAGACCACGTCACTTGGAGAAATGTACGTTTATGTGCATCTGTGTGTGTACAGGTTCTGCTAAGTGAGTCAAGACCAACATTCAATATGACTGTTATAACCACTATGACAGAGGGAGACGTCATCACATGACCACAGGGACAGAAATATAGATGATTTAAACCAACACCAATCTCTAAAGTCTCCTTAAAACATTATTTATATACATTCATACTTCATTTTTTAATTAATCAGTTAACTTATTTCATGTACAAAATGCCAAAATAATGAAAATGTCCCATCTTCCCAGAGCTTCAGGTAACGTATGCGGTTTACTAATGGTTTAAAGAGCAGGCTGAAGACTATGTCAGCTGTTTTGAATTGGTGAGATAGTCCGTATGGTAACTGCTCCTCTTCCCTCTGAAATACTTTGTCATTATCTGCACAATCATGATGCCATCATCCAACATCAAAACAACTATTAGAATGCTAGTGGGTGTGTATTTGTGTATCTGTCTGTTGTCATGTGTCTGCCCTTAAGGGAGTATATGGGGCTCTAGTGTGTGTGCACATGCGCGCGAGTGGGATAAACCCTCTTAACGACTCATAAAACCCTCTCCTGACTGAGCTGTTTTTAGCGTGAACCAGGCTCATCTGTTTCCACACACACATGCACAAACTTTCCAGAGCTCCTCTTTTAAGAAGCTTTAGTGCTTCTGGTAAGATGGATGTTCAGGGGTTAGAGGTGGGTTTAAAGGTTAGAGATTAGGGGTTAATGGCTGAGATGGTGCAGCTGCTACTTTGCAGTTATGAATGCTTTCTGCAGAGACTGGCCACTGAGCATACAGTATGTGTGAAATGGTTCTCCACAGTTTTATTTGTCTCATTCCTGTCGTACTTTCATCCTGACCATATCCACTGCTACAGCTACTTATTATTGCCTCAGTCATCCAGCTGTTAGCAGCAATAACAAGGTGGTTAGTTTTCAAAGGAGAGACACAAAGAGTACAACCAAAATCGAGATCAAGTTCCAGACATAGGCCAAAACAAATTTGCTCACAGTTGACAACATAAAAATAAACTCTGTCAGTGAAATGATTGTTGGACCTTGCACATGCTAGTGTGCCTTTAAGACTATACAAGTATAGATGGGGTGGACGTCCTTAGTTTAGCAGTAATCTGTGCTAGTTGGTAAAAGGGATCACACTGAGGCTACAGTTAAACCAGGTTAAACCCCTAATGACCTAATGAATAGACAGGTAACCAGTCTGTTGGGAAGAATGAACGGAAAGAACAGATGAGAGGACAAACACAAGAAGAAACACCTTCCTCCTTTGTCCACCCTTTCTCTCTGTGGTACTTGCTGACACCAGGTGCTACTGACTGTATCAAGGTCTGTGGATTCAGGTCTAGTGGACACAACTGCAGGAAGTTCCTGGAGGGGTAGACTGGTAGTTTATACAATTTACAAAAAATTATGTGAGAAGGAACAGAACACACTGATCAACATCAAATAAAAGTATCAGATTTAGCCAGAAAGGCTCATTTTCATCTGTAGTTTCTGGGCAAAGAATGTTTTTGCAGGCATTCCAAAACCTAAAACACTGTATGTATTGCTGGTGACCTAGTTGTGCTATAAATGGCTCACATGTTTGGGGCCAAATAAAACAAAAAAGATAATAAAAACTATAGAGGATTAACTTTTAAATGCCTCTCTGGATATTCTAAAATCTGTCATCATACAATTAAAGACATCCTGCGGCATTTTCTTGTAAACAAAGTTTATTTACATTTAGTGTAAACACTATTGTGTGCAATTGTCTAAAAATGCAATTACTGTATTTTCTTTCACTATAAATAATACAAAAAGTATGATGACCAACTCATAAAAACCCTTCCCCATAACAGTACTAGCAGCCTGTTAAGGTAGCCCCCCTCACCAGGAGGGTGAGGGAGGACTGAGGTTGGGCTCAGGTTTGCAGACCCAGGTGCTAGGGGGAAAAACATGACGGTAGCAGGTAAAGAAAGAGAACACAAAGTATCAAAAGAACATAACATGGGAAAGTACGGTACTTGGATATGTATGATATGTAGTGTAGTGTAGTGTAAATGAGCGTAGCGCGTAGGTTATGTGGTAGAGTCAAGCCAAAACGCACAGTGCCTGTCAGCGTAGCATTCTACCAACATATACAGTCCGCGGTACTATGTTAATGTTCCAGCAAAACTTGAGCGTCTGTCAGCGGTATAAATAAGGAGGAGAAGGCAATCATCGGGATGCACCCCAGCTGTGTGCATCGACAAACCAGTCGCTAATTACTGGAATGCAACACAGCTGAGGTGCAGAGCCCACAGGATAGAGAGAGCAGAGGAGAGAAAGACGAGGAGAGGCCGAGCGGCCCTGACACAGCCCAAAACACCACAGGTTAACTTGTATTTGCACTGACCTAGTGGGGACACAGTGAAGCTATTTCCAAGCTTACATTCTCCTTCAATACTGGTTTGTTCTTTTTGACTGCTTTTTTGACTGTGACCTCTGGTACAATGTACCAACAAACAACATGGATAGGTTCCATTAAGCTTTGGGCATAACACTGTTTTTTGTGGTTTTGTTGTCTTGTGTTGTTTTAAAGGATGCATTTTAGCTAAATTAGGTCATTTTCTGAATTCATTACGCTGTTCTAGCTCAGTGATAGGACACCAAATGGTTTTGAATCTGAATCACATTAATTATAATCAAATTTACATTACAGTCCAAATTATTACTCAAACTCTCCAAAGCATCACTTTTCCAATATGCAGTCAAAATATTATGATTTTTTAAAAATTTTGGCAATATTGCTCTGCTCTGCTATGTCCTGCTCCTGAGCAATCAATCACAAAGAGCTGAGCTTTGGTTCTCCAGAAAAAATATTGTTTATTTAACCAGCCACCCTTCTGCTTCTCTTTTTTTAGAATAGAAAACTGATACATAAGAGCTGGAAAAGGATCTGTGTGTACACACAATTCCCTCTTCCTTCTCCTGCAGCTCCTCATCCACATCTGCTTCCTTGAGTCACATTGTCATTTTCATTTGTACTGTCCAGCTCCCTCTTAGTCTCTCCTTATTGCTGTCACCTCCTGTAAAAATAACACAAGACTTGAAAACTGTAGATGCTTCAGTCAAAGAATTGAAAACCGTGTGGAAGCGAGTTAAACATCTCCAGATTTTCACAGAGAAGATATAAAGCGCCTTCCCCCCCTGCTGGCCTCACATCACATTACACATACACACACTCATCCAAAGCTAATTTCATGGGACATATTTGCTGTCAGAGAAAATCAAGACAGTTTAGAAAGGTTTGTGTTACGTATGGTTATTAAATAGTGGTCAAGGTGGGGGTTTTGTAGGGTCCCAGAGTGTGTCCCAGTCTGCTGCACATACTGAAAAGGTCAGGGACAAAAATAGGAGGACTGGAAGAAGAGGAAAAAGTCATCTGTAGGAAACAGAGGAGCTGGGAGGATATTGAAAAGAGCAGAAGAAGATGGACAAAAGAAGGTGAAAGATGAAAATAAATATCTGTTAATAAGAGCAGCAGGAGAGACTGGCACGGAGTGGTGGATACTGGTTGTGAAACAGAACTGTACATTCTGGTGACTGCTGTTCATCTGGCTGGAATTTTGTCTTCTGGGTTATTGTTTTAATGGGAATGTTAAACTGTGTTTTTTCATCCATAGAGAAAGAACATTAAAATTTACAAAGGCATTTATACAGTGGCTTTACACCGACTTAAGAAAAGGTTATGTAATATATTCATTGACAAAGGTCTATGTAAAACCATGTAAAAGCATACAAAACATCTGGCTCCAAAGGCTTTTGTGTATTTTATGGGCAAAAAAAAAATAGTCTCACTGACAAGATACCGACACAAAAAATAGAGAATTTCACTTCATCCAAGCTTATGACCAATGACTAAGACCATAGATGTATAAAAATCCCATTTCATTTTCAACGATGGATTTCTTCATGGTTGGATTTCATACAAACATTACAAACACAGGGTCTTAAAACTTCTTTTAAAGCTTTGAATCCAGGAGAGAAATTTTTCTGAGCCTGAGACACAAGAGACCCGTCAGAAAAAGAACTGACCCATGGAGTAAGAAACACTTGCACTAAAGGACTTCCACATGGCTCTGATGGCTGCCGAGTCCACACTAATCACAGCTAAAGAAAAACAAAAAAAACCCCGATATTACTGGATGCAACAGCAGGAAAGAAGCACTGACACAAAACACACACATAGGCACAAAACCACACACAGAGAAACATGCATGGCCAACATGCACGCACACAGCTGCACACACCCGTCAGTGTTTGAAAGAGAAAGCGATATCAATCACACTTCTGCCAGATGCAGCGATAAAAAGTCAGTGAGTGAGTGAGAGAGCTGGAGTGAGTGTGTGTACATATTTTGTGTGTGCGTTGTGTTTGCAGTGAGGTGCAGTAGAAAGTCTATTTAATACGATGCATTAACTCAGCTAATCACACCCAGATGACCAGAAGCAAACGCAGCTACAGTGTGCACGTTTCGTTTGTGTGAGTGTGTGTGAATGCATCATGGGAAACATCCAACCAACAGATTTTAAACTTCTTCCCGAACAGCCCATGTTGAGGTCTGAACATTCCTGACAGATGCTCCTAATTAGTCTATGTGTGTGTATGTTTTCATACTTGCATGTCAAAGTTAGCGTTTGTGTTACTCCACATCCTGTAAACAACAAAATGGTTGTTATATGGTCCTTGCCTCATCCGACTACTACATCGGCATCTGTCTTTTAATGATGACACTATTAATAAAGACAACTGTCTAAATGTTCAACAAATTCAAGACAATGTTTAACATTTGAGGAAACATGCTGTCTGTATGTTAAGTATGAAGCTACAGAAATCAGCAGAAACTCTAGAAAATTACTTTCCTCAACCAATAATTAATGCATCACACTTCTTTTAAAATTGCAAGTTGTCAGTTTTACTTTTTTTGTACAAATTAAAGAAGATAGTGTGTTAATTAGCGAGCTTTGAAGGTGGTGTTAGATGGACTTTCTTACCTTAGGACAGGACTGTCCCCTGGTTGTAACTTCTTATTTACAGTAGATACAAACATGAGAGCACTACCAAGCTCCTTATCTAGCTCTTGGAAAATAGCAAATACTGTAAGCGTACGTCCTAAAATGTCAAACTTTTTCTTTAAAGCTACAATATGTAACATCTCTCAAATACTTTTGTAGTAGAAATATGCTTCAAAACGTGTCTTAATATGGAGAGGTGCTGTTGAAGGCTCCTGTGAGCCAGACTGTTTGAACAGCACTGGCAGCGGTGCAGATATTAACCCTCTAAAAGGTTCTGAGTGGGACTGACCTCTTTAGTCAATCAGAGACTTTCAATTCTTTTTGCCTGATCAGTACATTTTGTTGCATTCTCATTTAATGAAATTTCATGGCAAATAGAGAAGAGCTGGCCAGAGCGTGGTGGAGTGTAGCAGAATGTAGTGGAGCAGGGAGAGGGAGCGCCGGATGGAGCAGAATAGATTGATTTGGCACTCCATGTTAGCGCTACCTTAAGTTACATACTGTAGATTTAAGTTCAATTATGATGCAACTGAGAAAACCAGCCACCAGTAAGAAAAAAAAAAAAAAAAAAAAAAGAGGATTTAACGGCCCAAGAATAAAAATTCAAATGACAGGGCAGTCACAAAGCAGTGAATCAAGCAAGCCTTTGTCTCCTTCACTCACCCACTCCCCCCGCCTGTCTCTCTGCTTACCTGTCTGCGTGCATATCAGTCTACTTTTTAGCTTGTGTATCACTTTATCTGTCTTTATGTGAGTCTGGCACACCTGTCTGTGCATCTACCTGCCTGCTGACCCTGCTTTCCACCTCCTTGCCCGTCTGTGCATCTACCTTTATCTCCCTGTCTCTGTGCAACCCGACCTGCCCGTTGTCTCTGGTCTTTTTCAGAGCATGACTGGTTGGCTGGCCATCCTCTGGGTTGATTAGAATTACCTACCGCAGAGCAGCTGGGACACACACACACACACACACTAACAGAAACACACAGGCAGCTCATTCAGCCTCACACTGGCCCTCAGCCCTGACTCAAGCCACTGACCATCCGCTCATCAGCACCACAGGCCTGTGAGTCCTCAAGACATGGAGAGCAATCTGATCTATTATGTATGTGCAAAAAGATCCAGCACTGCAGACGACGCTGGAGTTTTTAGGCGTTATTTTTAGGAGTTTACACCAAGGAGGAATTTGGGAAAATGACAACATACCACCATATATATGCTCATGTGTACACACACACACACGCACACACACACACACACAGAGACCTATAATTACTCTATTACACCATACAAGGGAAAGTAGTGGAAAACCCAGAGATGCTGCAGATAGAGAGGTGTAAATAAAAAACTGGTGACTCGCATTCTAGTGGTTACACACTAGCCACACACACACACACACACACACACACACACACACACACACAGAGCCAGAAGCACAGGCTTCACCCACATATAGCCAGAGGAAGCAATATGTGTTTGTGCCTGAGTGTGGTAACAGAGGAGGATGAGTTCAGCTCTATTTGCCATCAGTGATGTTATCGTCAGCTCTATTTGCCATCAGTGATGTTACAGTGACTGGAGCTGTTATCAAAAGGAGGTTTTCATCTCAAACGCGATGTTCTTTAAATAAATGAATGCACTAACGCACAGTCTCTCTCACCCATCAATCACTCTGTGTGCTCTCTACACTGTCCTATAATAGGTTGAGGGAATGATGCTGTTCCCCAGGATGTGGCTGTGAGGAAACTTATTTCCTTGTTTGCTCAACATTTAGAGGCTCTTTTTGCTTTGGCAGAACACACAAAGTTTTCAGTACCTACTTTATATCCTAAAATGGGACTTTGACACACATCCACACCATCTTTTCCTGTTTGCCACTGCCCTGCTAATGAAGACACGGTTGAATTAGAGCTGCAACTAAGGATTATTTTCATCAGTGATTAATCTATACATTTTTCTAAGGAAAAGTCCTGGTGCAGCTTTCCAGAGTCCAAGATGACATCTTCAAATATCCTGTCCAACCAACAGTTACAAACTCAGAAATATTCACTATACAATAGAGATGCACCAATTGCAACTTTCTGGGGCAATTACGATTTTCAATTTGTTTTTCTGATTTTGGCTGATTCAGATTTTCTTTCTCTCTGAGAACTGTAACTGACAGCATACACCGACATTTTTATAACTTTAATGAAAATTGTAATAAAAATAAAACCTATTGAAGTTTTACATTTCTCTCACTCTCTCTTTTGATTTTACAAACCTCTGACTAAAAATTAAGTGCAATATTTGTACTTTGCCAAATATAAACAGGTGCAACAGGTAACAGAAATGGAAGAATGTCTTTTACATCAGTCCTACTGAGCACACAAGTCTTTTTAATGTGCAGGTGTAGTTTGTATTTGCTGTGTTTTACCACAGGTTGAACACACTGTACATAAACATTTCATATGCAGCCAGTAATTCCCTCACTGTGTACCATTTGTCCAAGATTTGGATGTACTGTAGTTTCCCCTTCTCCAAGGTGTTTCTGCAGTATCCTCTGTGCACTGTTTGTACACTAAGCGCTTCCAGTGCACGAGTGAACATGCACCTGGTACAGACAGAACACGAGTCTTGCTAGAGGTACACATGAGATGCTTACACACTGCACACGCTATGCTTTGGTCTGTGCCACTGTGTGCACAACGTGAACTGCTGTGTATCTAAATGTGATTAGCACAAAATCAGAAATCTCAGAGTAATCACCCGGTCACCGGCCATTTCTGATTTCCACAGATCAATCGGTGCGTTGCTACTTTAAAATGACACAAAACAATGACACAGAACAGCTGGAACAGCACAATGCTGGCACTTTTGCTTCACAAATGGCTCAAACAATTAAAACATTATCCAAATTGTTGTTTACATATTTTTTCAAGTGAATGATTGACTAATCATTTCAACTCTAAAACAAGCCAGGATTCGTCTTCTTCACAACAAATTAAAATATAATGTAATGTAAAAATATAATAATTTCCTCAGAGTCACAATTCTGTGTTTAAAGTCTAAACTCTGAGTTTAAAGTTTAGGGAGGGCTTGGTACCGCTAACACGGTGGGGTTTATGACCTATATTGAACATCAGGGGGCGTTGCACTTGTGGTGGCTTCACTTCTGGGAGCTTTCTCATCCTCCAACTTTGTATACATTCTATGGGTTCACCAAATAATTTGCACTAACCAAACTTTTTATATGGATCTTGGGATATGTTTCAGAGTTTGACTGTTTGCAGTTTTGAGTTTACTTATGCCAAGAGTATGACAGAAAGCTCACACAAGAAATTAAAGAGTTATATTAGAATGGAATGTAACTTTTTGTTTACTCCTAAAAATGAAAGCCAAGTAGAAAATTTATGTTTGGCCTGCTTGCTTCCTCTCAGTCGGTTGGTTTTATTTCCATTGCTGCTGATGCTCAAAATCTGACTACTTCACTTCCCTTTATAGTTTAAACCAAATGTTCCCTTTCTCCTACCTCGCTCCCAGAAACCCCTCCTCCTAGATACACCTATCAGTGCTAGGGAGTCACCCAGGGGCTAGTGCCACCCTCATTACCAAATGCACAGGTGGCGGGAGTCTATTCTGGATGGATGAGGACCAGGTCAAACGTTGATTTTATACATGAACATATGCAAAACCACACACACACACACACACACACACCTCAGAGCCAGTGGGATCGAACTCTGTGGTCAGTGACTTTCCCACTCACTACACAGCATGCACATGTTGAAGCCGTTAAGGATAAGTGGCTTTTCAAACCTGGTAACTTAACTAATGTCCCTGTTAATCTCACATTCCTCACTACAAATGTCACAGTACACAGGCCAGTGATTTCAGAGAGATGAGCAATTTTGTCAGTCATTACAAACCAGAAATGTTTTTCAGCCTACGTTTCCCCTGTGAATACTGACATAAGGCAACTGAGCAACAAAACTTCTAATGAAAACCACTTTACAAGCAACGCCCAGTGAGTCTGACTGATCTTCGCCTGATTAAGAATTTAGGCAATATTATGCTTTCCTATTGTGCATAACAACACATTTAGTTGATTTAGCTGACCTAGAAATCACTGCACAACATGGCATTAAGTGGCCATTCTTCAATTCCCTGTATTTAAAACAAACAAGCAAACAGTGACAAGGTTTATTAAAATGTTTTGGATGTAACGTACGTGACTACTGTATATAGGCTACTATACTTCCCCAGCAAGCAACACATTTCTTGACAAAAGCGACAGAACTAAGCACAACTATGAATGATGGAGGTGAAAGTGCATCTGAACAAAACTGGTAGCTTTTTATGTTTTAATGTTGATCTTTAAATAATGTCATTAAATTTTCATCTTAATGATAATACCTGTGGTTATGAGTGCAAATTCAGTCATTTGTGCACACTGATAAATCAGCAAATTAACTGGAATGTCAATAGTTTGTATATAGCATCAAATCCTCAGTCCTGGCTCTTTTTTTATTTCATGACTTCAAGCTAGTTTATGTTGTTTATGGTCGCGGTCACATTTGACCGTAAATTCGCTGAACACTTAAATAAGAAGCAAAAGTACCTGGAGGTGTCTGAAGGCAGCGGTTAGCTGAGTCATGTGCAGAGTGAGACACCTGGACGTGCACCTGGCGCTGTTGATTTTCTCCTGAACGTCATCCTGCACCGGTGAACTCCTGCGGGCACGAGTCACCGCTAACACCGCGCAGAGGAGCACCAAGCAGGGCCGACGAACTGACATGACACCGGCAGGAAATACAAGCAAAAGAGATATATGGACAAAGAAGTGACTGAACTCGGTACTTTCTTCCTCGCGTCCGGTGCGTCAGCGTCCGCTCTCGCGACCCTTGGAGTTCAGAATGAAAACATCCAGCGGCGCTCGCCGCCCTAACCCTCCTCGCGGACACTCCCACCACTGGTGCAAGTGCAGCCACGCGGAGTTACTTCGCTCTTCGTCCGTATCGTCCTAGTCACCGCCATCCTTACAGTCTCTGCAATTTTCATCATATTCCACCAGTTAGTCTACATGATTAACATTATGCACAAGTTGTTCACCATCACTATCCTACATGTCAGCATGTAGGATGGCATATCTCACCAACCACCATCATTATTTTTTACCTGTATTTATTCACAGGAAGGCATTGTTCACAATCACACCTGGAAGCAGCCTAGTACAACCACATACTGACCTATGGCCACTTAGCAGCTTCACTGGACCAATTTGTGGTTAAGGGCACCACACTGGAGTCACTGGAGG